TCCCTGGAATATGACCCCCACGAAGAATCGTTTTTACAACCAAGTACACATTTTACTGTTGAGTTAAACAAAGGCTACAGTTAAGGATTTGCGCCCAGTAAATCCTCCCCGGCGAGGATACGAACCCATGACAATTAACACATAACTATATTCTACCCACTTCAAGACCCCGAACCAACATAGGAGCAGCAAGAGAAAGTATGGGTCAATAGGCCTTCTGCAATTACTTTCATTCTTATGCTTTTCATATCCAATTAATACCCATCTCACCCAAAACATTTGTGTCATATCACCTCACACAAAATAAATAAAAAGTATGATGTATATGTGTAAACCTAGACTTTGAAAATGTAATAAACTTACGAAACGCTTCTAGGCGTCAGACCAAAAATAAAAATGTAAAAAATTTATTTTGGAGAGTTAATTTTTCAATTTCCCTCGACAGTGAAGAAAAACGTAAGAAATATTGAGAAGATTCGTGTTAGAATTATTAATCTTACCCTTTCGGTCATATTCAACAATATATATATATATATATATATATATATATATATATATATATATATATATATATATATATATATATATATATATATGTCGTACCTAGTAGCCAGAACGCACTTCTCAGCCTACTATGCAAGGCCCAATTTGCCTAGTAAGCCAAGTTTTCATGAATTTATTGTTTTTCGACAACCTAACCTACCTAACCTAATCTAACCTAACTTTTTCGGCTACCTAACCTAACCTATAAAGATAGGTTAGGTTAGGTTAGGTAGGGTTGGTTAGGTTCGGTCATATATCTACTTTAATTTTAACTACAATAAAAAAAAATTCACCTCATACATAATGAAATGGGTTGCTTTATCATTTCATAAGAAAAAAATTAGAAAAAATATATTAATTCAGGAAAACTTGGCTTAATAGGCAAATCGGGTCTTGCATAGTAGGCTGAGAAGTGCGTTCTGGCTACTAGGTACGACATATATATATATATATATATATATATATATATATATATATATATATATATATATATATATATATATATATGCGAACAAGCCTGAATGGTCCCCAGGACATATGCAACTGAAAACTCACACCCCAGAAGTGACTCGAACCCATACTCCCAGAAGCAACGCAACTGGTATGTACAAGACGCCTTAATCCACTTGACCATCACGACCGGACAAAATGAGGTGATAGCCGAGGCTATTTGAACCACCCCACCGCCGGCACTCGGATAGTTATCTTGGGCATAGCATTTTACCAAATCACCTCATTCTTTGGGGCACACGTGAGGAACACAAATGCGAACAAGCCTGAATGGTCCCCAGGACATATGCAACTGAAAACTCACACCCCAGAAGTGACTCGAACCCATACTCCCAGAAGCAACGCAACTGGTATGTACAAGACGCCTTAATCCACTTGACCATCACGACCGGACAAAAATGAGGTGATTTGGTAAAATGCTATGCCCAAGATAACTATCCGAGTGCCGGCGGTGGGGTGGTTCAAATAGCCTCGGCTATCACCTCATTTTGTCCGGTCGTGATGGTCAAGTGGATTAAGGCGTCTTGTACATACCAGTTGCGTTGCTTCTGGGAGTATGGGTTCGAGTCACTTCTGGGGTGTGAGTTTTCAGTTGCATATGTCCTGGGGACCATTCAGGCTTGTTCGCATTTGTGTTCCTCACGTGTGCCCCAAAGAATGAGGTGATTTGGTAAAATGCTATGCCCAAGATAACTATCCGAGTGCCGGCGGTGGGGTGGTTCAAATAGCCTCGGCTATCACCTCATTTTGTCCGGTCGTGATGGTCAAGTGGATTAAGGCGTCTTGTACATACCAGTTGCGTTGCTTCTGGGAGTATGGGTTCGAGTCACTTCTGGGGTGTGAGTTTTCAGTTGCATATGTCCTGGGGACCATTCAGGCTTGTTCGCATATATATATATATATATATATATATATATATATATATATATATATATATATATATATATATATATATATATATATATATATGTCGTACCTAGTAGCCAGAACGCACTTCTCAGCCTACTATGCAAGACCCGATTTGCCTAATAAGCCAAGTTTTCATGAATTAATGGTTTTTCGACTACCTAACCTACCTAACCTAACCAAACCTAACTTTTCCGGCTACCTAACCTAACCTAACCTAACCTATAAAGATAGGTTAGGTAGGGTTGGTTAGGTTCGGTCATATATCTACGTTAATTTTAACTCCAATAAAAAAAAATTGACTTCATACATAATGAAATGGGTACCTTTATCATTTCATAAGGAAAAAATTTGAGAAAATATATTAATTCAGGAAAACTTGGCTTATTAGGCAAATCGGGTCTTGCATAGTAGGCTGACAAGTGCGTTCTGGCTACTAGGTACGACATATATATATCTTCGACGAAACCATTGGAGAAGCCGTTGTTGACTAGGACCTGCCTTACCCTACAGAGTTCTTCGTCGACTTGCTTCCATTCTGAGCTGTGGCTGAGAGCACGGTCGACATATGCGTTAACAACACTCCTCTTGTACCTGTCTGGGCAGTCGCTGTTGGCATTTAGGCACATTCCTATGTTCGTTTCCTATGTTCGTTTCGTTTGAAACGAACACAGGAATGTGCCTAAATGCCAACAGCGACTGCCCAGACAGGTACAAGAGGAGTGTTGTTAACGCATATGTCGACCGTGCTCTCAGCCACAGCTCAGAATGGAAGCAAGTCGACGAAGAACTCTGTAGGGTAAGGCAGGTCCTAGTCAACAACGGCTTCTCCAATGGTTTCGTCGAAGACATCATAAGAAGGAAAGTGAAACGCCATGCAACCTCTGAAGAGACAACTAACACAACACCTATACCCCCTATCAGACTATTTTACAGGAACTTCTTTTCCACAGCTCATAAAACGGAGGAAAGGGTCCTGAAAGATATTGTTAATAGAAACGTTATCCCTACAGACAAAAATCAGAGGATACAACTGACGATTTACTATAAAACCAGAAAAACGGCCAGCCTACTCATGAGAAACTCTCCAGACACAAAACAGAACGCTTTAAAAGAGACTAACTTCGTCTATGCCTTCAAATGCCCTCTTGGGGACTGTAAGCTCCAAAAAACCCAGTATATAGGCAAGACAACAACATCTCTTTCTAGGCGTTTAACGATGCATAAGCAACAGGGCTCCATTAAGGAACATATAATCTCTTCCCACAACCAAACCATCGCCAGAGAAATCCTAGTAAACAACACAGAAATCATCGATAGATACAGCGATAGCAGGCGGCTTGACGTTTGCGAGGCACTACACATCAAGAAGTCAACACCAGCAATCAACAGCCAATTAATGCACAACTATATTCTACCCACCTCAAGACTCCGCTCCAATATAGAAGCATCAAGAAATATGGACCAATAGGCTTTCTACAATCACTTCTATTCAATGCCCATTGTTTCGTGTTCTGTCTTGTGTTGATGAAATTAATACCCTACTAATGCCACCTCTTGTTCTGTCTTGTGTTGATGAAATTAATACCCTATTAATGCCACCTCACCCCATCCACCTCTCTCAAATGTAGATATAAAATCGGAGATGCGTAAGGTCTATTCAGTTGTGTATTTGTAAACTAAAGTCTTTGAAAATGTAATAAGTTTTACGAAACGCGCTCGTGTCGCGTCAGACTAGAAATAAAAATGAATTTTGGAGAATTGATTTTTGATTTACCTCCAATAGTGAAAAGAAATGTACGAAAGATTGAGAAAATTCGTGTTAGAATTATTAATCTTACTTTTTCGGTCATATTTAATAATATATGTCTACAGGAAAGACTGCTACCAAAATATATATATATATATATATATGCAAACAAGCCTGAATGGTCCCCAGGACTATATACAACTGAAAACTCACACCCCAGAAGTGACTCGAACCCATACTCCCACAACTGGTATGTACAGGGACGCCTTAATCCGCTTGACCATCACGACCGGACAAAAGGAAGTGATAGCCGAGGCTATATGAACCACTTCCCCGCCGGCACTCGGATGGTAATCTTGGGCATAGCATTTTATCAAATCACCTCATTCTTTGGGGCACACGTGAGGAACACACGTGTTCCTCACGTGTGCCCCAAAGAATGAGGTGATTTGATAAAATGCTATGCCCAAGATTACCATCCGAGTGCCGGCGGGGAAGTGGTTCATATAGCCTCGGCTATCACTTCCTTTTGTCCGGTCGTGATGGTCAAGCGGATTAAGGCGTCCCTGTACATACCAGTTGTGGGAGTATGGGTTCGAGTCACTTCTGGGGTGTGAGTTTTCAGTTATATATATATATATATATATATATATATATATATATATATATATATATATATATATATATATATATATATATATTGGTTCAGTTGTACAAGATTACATACACAACAGAACCAATACAAGTAAAATGAAAAACACGACAATGGGAAACATTGATAAATGTCACAGACAGGTTCGATCATTGTTGCAAGTCAAACACTTCTTCGAATTTCTCCGAAGTTGGACTAGTGCCCAAGACTTAGCAAGCATTTCCCCTCTGAGCTGCAACTCTGAGGCGCTGGAACAAGAAACTTTTTGCTCTCTGGTCTTTTGTAGCGCCAATCAATTTGTCCTACAATTCCTTCAGGAACTTCAATGCACATTTTCCCCACGAACCGACGGTCTCCGAGCCGATCGGAACAAAGCTGTAGCAGTGTGCCAGACATAATTTTCTTCTGTCCTCCATGGACAGGGTTAGAGATCTGTTAAACATACAGTTTAGGGATTTACTGAATAAGTAACCACAGAAGGTGATTGTAGTGTTTATAAAATGCTAAGGTAACCTACAGACAAATACACAGATTTACGTCTGTTCTACATTAACAGTGTACGGGGTGTAATGGCCACATTACGTGACAGCTGTATAAAAGGACACCATAACCTCCCATTAAATACACCTTCAACACCCTATGTTCAAAAAGAAGTTTGATACAGTTCTTGAAGAATTCCCGGTAATGGCTACGACAATGCGAGCTACAAGTACCAACAGGCTACTAAATCTAGGCTATTAACCAGAAGGACTGATCAGATTGGTAACTGGTAATTAAAATTTTGATTAACGTGCGTTCAGTTCGTCTTGCTAGTTACATCAATGCCATCTGAGGAGGAAGGAAGTATCTCCAGCGCATTACTGTCCATTACAGAGAGAGGTAGTGAACCCAACCAAACCCCGCTCGAGTACGGTGCCAAGCTTGACCCACACGGTACGGTGCCAATGTAACACTGTAAAAGTGTTTGGTTTAGGTTAATACATACATAGAGTACATGAGTCACAGACAAGGATCTGAGAGGCGCCAGTTGTCTGCCTGAGATCTCACACCTCTAACCGTTAATGACCCCAAGTGACCTGAGGTCAGATCATGATAATTTCACCTTGCTTCCGCTAAGCGTATAATTGGAGCCGGGTAGCCTTCAAACATGCCGACGTTTAAGGAGTGGCTTGGTAGTGCCGGAGGCTATCTACTTGTGGGCGGAGTTAGCTACTAGGTTCCCCAATATAAACTCGGAGAGCTATCCAGCAAAAAAGCATTAACAGACAGAGCAGCAGACGAGCCAGGAGAGCAGAGAGAAGACAGCCCTATCAGGGAGGCTGTCGGCCGGCAGGGCGGGAGTCTCTGTCAACTACAGACCCCCCCCCCCTCTCTATCCAGCTATAGGCAGAGACACTTGGTGAGTTGAGCATTAAGGTGACTTGGTCGTGTTTTACATATGTTGTGTGATGATCAGGGGCAGTCAAGTTGTAGGGTTCTCGAATTCTTGGATGATGACTCACTTTGCATATTAAACTGGAACATTTTAATTGAATTGCTAAATTATGATACTTCATGTGAAATATAATTATGAATTTATTATTTAAATTGTGTTTAACTTTGTTCCCTAGAGATTTTGAGTTGAGATGAGAAAGCCTCTGTGATTACTGGTTTCATGATTTAATGAGTACATGTTTGGAGTTGATACATGGTACAGAGGGAACATACTAATAATGAACTCATGATAACATCCTTTGAAAATTTTTTGTGATACAGGCAAGTTCCATTCCTTGTCTTGTATGTAATGATTATGAATGGATGGTGGCAGCATTTCGTCTTCTACTATCTACTCTTCTACTTCTACTATCTACTCTTCTCCTTCTACCTATCTACACCTCTCCCTCCACCCCTCTCTAAACTCTCACTTTCAACTAATGACCCTCCTCGCCCCTCCCACCTCTCTGCCTCTCACCCCAAACCCTCACTAATTACTTCACTATTCATTTCTTTCCTTTCGTTTTCTCTTATACGTTTGTGGCAATGATTCTGTATTCTAGAGTTCTCTCTAGAGTTTCGGGTAGCTGATCCAGTTACGGCGCCTTGTAGTCTTAGCACCTAGGTAGTCAAATACCTAGGTTTACAAGGTGTTGAACCAGAGAGGTTGCCTTAGGAACTCTGGAGGGTGCTCTAGAATAGTTAGCTAACTGGGGACGGGATAACGGACTAGAGAGAGCTGTTTCCCCCGGCCTCGTTAGTTAACTGGGGGGTGGAATAATGGACAAGATAGAGCTATTTCCCCCACCCCCGTTACAATGATGGCAGCGGTGTTGAACAATGTTGTAGGTAGTTGGTGTTCTTTTAACATTGTTCAGTCCCACGTGTCTTTTTGCCGCTCAGGCGCTATCAGGGAGATCTTGACAGGTGTTTATTATTCGCGAGTTAGCGAACTTTTTTTTCAGGTTAGGAGATGGTGATTCTCTGGTGTTGTGTTTAGTGATTTTGTGAGTTTTGTGTAGTTCAGGGAATGTTCACCAGAACTCGCGTGTGTAGTGATTAATGTTAGTGATAAGATTTGGTGATTTGGGAACTTAGCGGTGTTGGTAGTGGAGCTCACCTGAGTGTGACAGGTGACCTCGCATGTCCCAGGGGGACACCCAGCCACCGCTGGTCTCCAGGTCAGTGGGGAGTGGCAGGTGTAGTTTTTAAGTAGTGGTTCTGCTCAGATTATTGCGATCGACTGTTTTACTCCATTTGAACGCAATAACCCGAGGTGTACTGGTATTGTACAGCATGCTAGGGGGAGGCTTAGTATGTCAGTAGACTTCACGTTGGGGACGCTCGACGTTAGATAGTCTGGTCACAGGGGTGGCAACAGTTTGGAGTTGTTGACCGGCGGAGATGCTAGGGAGACACTCTGGGTCACGTAGGTGGCTGTAGGTTAAGGGTGGGAGTAATGGATATTTATGTACTTAAGATTAGGAACGGTACAGTTAAGTTAGGCTAGCGTTTTGTCTATTAGTGTTGATTTTTTTTTTGTGTGACAAGTTAAAAGTAGTGATGACCTTATTCTCTCTTCTCTAACTTTACTCTGTTACTGTTTTATGTTCCACCAAGTCAATATCATTCAGAGTTAATTGGATTATTAAAATTTAAGTGTAGTTGTTGCCAGGAGGAGAGCTTATAATTGGACTGTGTGAACCCTACAAACTACAGGGTCACACAACAGCATGGAACACGGGTATTGTCGCCTTTATGTTCAATTCACAGGTGGGAGCCAGAGGAGAGGCGCGACGCATATACAGAAGAGGGAGACGGCTGCTGTGTACCACACTCAGGGGCGTTTATCACCACCACCACGACCAGCCCACTTCCTGGAGGTCATGGCTCCACCACCACCACCACCACCCCAGGGGACCCCAAGATGCAGCCCTCTCGGTCGGTCAACATTGGTCTACCCAGTGGACCCCAGGACGGACGGACCCCAGTGGACCCCAAGACTTACGGACCTCAGTGGACCCCAAGACGGACGGACCCCAGTGGACCCCAGGTCGTTCTGCAGACGACCCCAGACGACCCAGTAAAGATGGAAGAGGAGCAACAACGACTCCAGTCTGTCCCACCAACATCGGTCTACCCAGTGGACCCCAGGACGGTCAGACCCCAATGGACCCCAGGTCGCTTGTCAAAGACCCAGGGGAGGAGGAAGAGAGAAGAAGGAAGAGAGAAGAAAGAAGAGAGAAGAAAGAAGAGAGAAGAAGGAAGAGAGAAGAAAGAAGAAAGAAGAAGAAGAAGATAAGACAAGCTGAGTGAGACACGATGCCTCGTGTCCCTTGCTGGTATCAGCATCATTGCATGGAGCGTAATTGCAAGACAGGATCGTTTGCCTTAACTGGCCGCCCCTCCTACAAGCATGTTGCTCTGTTGAGTGATTCATCCTGTGTCGTGCGGACTTGATGTGGCTGTCAGAAGTAGCTCTCTGAAGGAGGCGTGCTGGAGCAACAGGGAGGAAGAAGAGTAGGATGGGATTTCTACTGTTGGCAACTATATGAAGGTCTCGAAACTTGTAGTCCCTATAGCTGTGAAGAACCCCAATATACGTCTCTCATGGTGACTGACGTAGGGCCAATTACAGATCAGCTGGGACAACCGAATTCCACGGTCCTGTGCGCAGTTCAAGTAGTAACGGCTTTCGGGTTGACCAAGGGTTGTTGTGCGTTAACGACGGAGAAGCGACGGAGGCAGTTGTGTTGAAGAAATGTGGTACAGGATTATCTACAAGACCAAGCAGTGACGTCGCCCAGCCAGAGACAATGGACGTCTGTCTATATATTTCATTTTTTAGAGTAGGATGATGTATATTTGTTTAGCTAGGATGTATTTTTTTTTTTCGTTAATAAAGTTGTCGCACACAGCTAGCTTGCTTTAGCAGTGTTGCAAAAACTTTATTTCGGGGAGAAGGGGAGATGTAACACTGTAAAAGTGTTTGGTTTAGGTTAATACATACATAGAGTACATGAGTCACAGACAAGGATCTGAGAGGCGCCAGTTGTCTGCCTGAGATCTCACACCTCTAACCGTTAATGACCCCAAGTGACCTGAGGTCAGATCATGATAATTTCACCTTGCTTCCGCTAAGCGTATAATTGGAGCCGGGTAGCCTTCAAACATGCCGACGTTTAAGGAGTGGCTTGGTAGTGCCGGAGGCTATCTACTTGTGGGCGGAGTTAGCTACTAGGTTCCCCAATATAAACTCGGAGAGCTATCCAGCAAAAAAGCATTAACAGACAGAGCAGCAGACGAGCCAGGAGAGCAGAGAGAAGACAGCCCTATCAGGGAGGCTGTCGGCCGGCAGGGCGGGAGTCTCTGTCAACTACAGACCCCCCCCCCCCTCTCTATCCAGCTATAGGCAGAGACACTTGGTGAGTTGAGCATTAAGGTGACTTGGTCGTGTTTTACATATGTTGTGTGATGATCAGGGGCAGTCAAGTTGTAGGGTTCTCGAATTCTTGGATGATGACTCACTTTGCATATTAAACTGGAACATTTTAATTGAATTGCTAAATTATGATACTTCATGTGAAATATAATTATGAATTTATTATTTAAATTGTGTTTAACTTTGTTCCCTAGAGATTTTGAGTTGAGATGAGAAAGCCTCTGTGATTACTGGTTTCATGATTTAATGAGTACATGTTTGGAGTTGATACATGGTAATAACATCTTTTGAGAATATTTTGATACAGACAAGTTCCATTCCTTGTCTTGTATGTAATGATCATGAATGGATGGTGGCAGCATTTCGTCTTCTACTATCTACTTTCTACTCCTACTATCTACTCTTCTACTTCTACCTATCTACACCTCTCCCTCCACCCCTCTCTCAACTCTCACTTTCAACTAATGACCATCCTCGCTCCTCCCACCTCTCTACCTCTCACCCCAAACCCTCACTAATTACTTCACTATTCATTTCTTTCCTTTCGTTTTCTCTTATACGTTTGTGGGCATGATTCTGTATTCTAGAGTTCACTCTAGAGTTTCGGGTAACTGATCCAGTTACGACGCCTTGTAGTCTTAGCACCTAGGTAGTCAAATACCTAGGTTACAAGGTGTTGAACGAGAGAGGCTGCCTTAGGAACTCTGGAGGGTGCTCTAGAATAGTTAGCTAACTGGGGACGGGATAACGGACTAGAGAGAGCTGTTTCCCCCGGCCTCGTTAGTTAACTGGGGGGTGGAATAATGGACAAGATAGAGCTATTTCCCCCACCCCCGTTACACCAAGCTTGACCCACACGGTACGGTGCCAAGCTTGACCCACACGGTACGGTGCCAAGCTTGACCCCACACGGTACGGTGCCAAGCTTGACCCCACACGGTACGGTGCCAAGCTTGACCCCACACGGTACGGTGGCAAGCTTGACCCCACACGGTACGGTGCCAAGCTTGACCCCACACGGTACGGTGCCAAGCTTGACCCCACACGGTACGGTGCCAAGCTTGACCCCACACGGTACGGTGCCAAGCTTGACCCCACACGGTACGGTGCCAAGCTTGACCCCACACGGTACGGTGCCAAGCTTGACCCCACACGGTACGGTGCCAAGCTTGACCCCACACGGTACGGTGCCAAGCTTGACCCCACACGGTACGGTGCCAAGCTTGACCCCACACGGTACGGTGCCAAGCTTGCACAGACAGAAATACAAGTCTCAGCTTCGAGTCATCGTTCGCCGACGACACCAAAATAGCGTAAAGGATAATTTACAATATGACCTTATCGCGGTCTTCCAATGGCCAGGAGGATAACAACATGACATCCGACCTTCAACTTCGGAAATGACAACAACAAAACCCCTTAAAGGAAGTACAGGAAACAAGACACAATCAGATACTCTCATAGACATGATCGACCAAAGAGCTCGGGATGATAATGTTAGAAGCCCCAACGTATAGACATCAGGATAATGGAGACTCAGCCACGACCAGCAGAATGATGAGGACCTTCATAACAACCTTACTGATGGTTGAGCCGGTCGGCCGAGCGGACAGCACGCCGGGCTTGTGATCCTGTGGTCCTGGGTTCGATCCCAGGCGCCGGCGAGAAACAATGGGCAGAGTTTCTTTCACCCTATGCCCCTGTTACCTAGCAGTAAAATAGGTACCTGGGTGTTAGTCAGCTGTCACGGGCTGCTTCCTGGGGGTGGAGGCCTGGTCGAGGACCGGGCCGCGGGGACAAAATAGCCCCGAAATCATCTCAAGATAACCTCAAGATGGTATTCTTCAAACCACAGGTGCTATTTCATGTGGAAGTTTGTTCTGAACTGTCCTCAAGGGACAATCCAAATGCTGTTATAAAACTGCTCAACAAAGGATGAATGAATGAGGTACTAGTTGAATTACTTGTACTCATTACCAATTACTACTACTACTACTTGAGTGTTGTAGAGAAGTATACTACAGTGTATATGAATACTACTTGTACTCATTACCCACAAGAGAGAACAAGTAGGTTACTGGTGAGGCCGGAGAGACCCTGGCTGGGTAAACAGCGTTCTGCACTCAACTCAATGGCTGGTGGCAAGGTCAAGCCTCGGCGTGCCCTAATAATTCACACACTGTTTACGAGGTGGCAAGGTCCTCTCTCTCTCTCTTTCAGCTTGTTTATGCCTTGTTTGCTTGTATGCGAGCGTGCGCGCGCGCGTGTGTGTATACATGGTATCTTAGTAGACGTAGGTACGTGCGTTGGCGCGCATACACACGAAAGTATACACGAACACGAGTCACTAACCATACTGATGTAACGGGGGGAGGGGGGGGGGAAATAGCTCTCTAGTCCATTATTCCACCCCCCAGTTAACTAACGAGGTCGGGGGAAACAGCTCTCTTTAGTCCGGTATCCCGCCCTCAGTTAGCTAACTATTCTAGAGCACCCCCCAGAGTTCCTACGGCAGCCTCTCTAGTTCAACACCTTGTAACCTAGGTATTCGATTACCTAGGTGCGGGGACTACAAGGCGCCGTAACTTTATCAGCTACCCGCAACTCTAGAGAACTCTAGAACACATTTCACTGCCACAAACGTATAAGAGAACCGAAAGGGAAGAAATGAATAGTGAAGTAATTAGTGAGGGAGGTAGAGAGGTGGGAGGAGCGAGGAGGGTTTTATTTTTAGTTGAAAGGGAGAGGTTGGAGAGGGGCGGAGAGAGAATACTGAGATGAGTGGAGGTAGAGGTAGAAGTAGAAAATAGAAAAGTAGATAGTAGAAGTAGTAGTGCTGGTACCATCCATTCTGGTCAGTACATACATGCAACCCATCCTCCGAATTGACAGTACGTTTTAATACTAAGTGTAATAAGTACATTTCCTGACTGTTATACATAGTACATAATTGCACTGACGAGGCTATTATATTTACCCATCCCCCTCCCCCCGATTTAAGTCTCCTCGTTTTCTGTTAGGACACTTTAAATTTTAGGATGAAATTTTAAAGTTCAGTTACTATAAACAAGTTTTAAATATTAGGATTTTCTTTTTCACTTTTATTAAACAATAGAGATTTTATACAAAATATGAAAATATCCTGAGTTACTTTACAATTTATTGAAATATTTTAGTTTTGTTTTATTTGTTTTATAAAACTGTAATATAGCTATAGGTTAAGTAATAGTTATAATTAAGATGCAATAAAATGCTTATCTTCACAAACTAAGACGGTTAGGTTAGGTTGTGGTTTTCTATTCAGCATTTTAGATAAACTCAAATATTCACAATATATTAGACAGTACGATTTAATACTAAGTGTAAATAAGTAAAATTCTTGACTGTCATACATAGTACATAATTGCACTTATGGGGCTGCGTACATTTACCTCCCCATTTTTGGAGGACGGGCTGATACATGACAAGGAATGGAACTTGTCTGTATCACAAACTTCTCAAAGATGTTATCAAAAGGTCATTATTAGTATGTCGTCTGTATCATGTATCCCGTAAGACTAATAATCTCAAGAGTACTCATCACTCTAGTTTGCATATTGTATCCAAAAATCCCAAATCTAGGAACAATTAAAATTAGATTAAGAGTGAGTGAATCAAATATATATGTCTCAATAAATTCATCAGTGTATTTAAAAGGATAGATATCATAATTCAAGCAATCAAACTGAAGGTTCACTATTAAATTACAAAGCGAGTCATTACCCAAGAATTCGAGAACCCTACAACTGTCTGCCCCTGATCATCACACAACACTTGCAAACACGACTAAGTCACCTTCATATTCACTCACCGAGGACTGAGTCTAAGTTGTGTAGAGAGCGCGGGTGAGGGTCGGCAGTTGTCAAGCAGTCACCCCATCCCCCCGGTCCGGCCGACAGCCTATCTCGGCCGCTGTCCTCTGCTCTGCTCCGCTGGCTGTTCTCCTATTGCTTATCCTCCGAATCTACAGCTCCCTCAGTATATATTGGGAAAGCTAGTAGCTAACTCCGCCCACAAGTAGATAACCCCAGGCTCTCTACCAAGCCACTCCTTAAACGTCGGCATGTTTGAAGGCTACCAGGCTACAATTATCAGATTAGCAGAAGCAAGGTGAAATTCGCATGAGCTGACCTCAGGTCAACTTGAGGTCATTAACGCTTAGAGGTGTGAGTTTCAGGCCGACAGACTGGCACCTCTCAAATCCTTATCTGTGACTCATGAACTATATAAATATTAGATAAAACTAAACAAAACACCTTTACGGTGTTACACTGAAGCTCACCCCTTTTATTCCCACGTTACACTCCCCCAACCACTACTATCCCCCCCTACACTCCCCTCCACCATCGCCCCCTACTTCCCCTTCATATTTGCTACCACAACATCTAAATCTTCAAGATGCTCCGCCTCAACAACTGCACAAGTGAAAGGGGGTCACTTCCCGAATACAAAGCCCATTCACCACACTTGACCGCCGTTCGTATCTCCTACTCCACCACCAGAGGGCCTTACCTTAACCATACTCTCTCCCTCCCTTCCTCCCCCATTACCCTAAATACTTCCCAGGAATCTTGTGTTCGCTCCTCAGACAGAACGAAGGACCCGGAACATAAGACACACTTGTGTTCAGGGAAAGTTAGTAACGCTCAGAATAATTTCAGTGTAGCATAAGGTGGAGCACGTAGTGAATGACGACCCCTAAGGTCACCAGAGACTCCGTGATGAAGACATGTGGCATGGGGGGTAGGGAGGGGGGGATAAAGGACAGGAGTTTAGAGGGAGAGGAATAGAATGGGAGATATTTAGGGGGGAAGAATAGAGCGGGAGGAGCAGAGGGGAAGTAGTGGGAAGAAGTAGAAGGGAAGGAGTTGGGGTAAGAGGTGAAAAGTGAGAATGAAGGAACAATGGCTCGGTGTTCTCTCAAGAGCTGCAATTGTCTTCACAGACCTTAAGGCAAAACAGTTACCAACATTCCATGAGACCATTCACTCCACATTGATCTCTCACAACATGCTACAAAATACAGCTTCAACACACACACTTCTGTGATCTATTCTTTACTATGTATTGTTATTCAACACATAACAATCACAACAGGGCAAACATATAAACATCTTCGTAATCATCAAGTGTATAAACTAAAATGATCAGTGACATGTCTCTCCATGAACAACCAAGAGGAAATTAAGCAATCTTGAACAAGCAAAGTGAAAGAAACTACAAGAGAGGCAGCAATAATAGAGCAGTTGACTCTCCAGTATTGACAGACCTCTCAAGGCTCTCCCACATACTCACCAGGGCAACACCTCTCCTTCACTCCCACACACTCACCAGGGCAACACCTCTCCTTCACTCCCACACACTCACCAGCCCAATGACCCTGCCAATTACAGACCTATCAGTCTCGTGTCATGCACTTGCAAGATGCTTGAAAGGATCATCCTAAATCGACTGTTTCACAAAATAGGCAGGCTAGGGGGAGGGGGTCAATTGATTTGTTAAAGGACGGAGCACAGCAAATTGTATAGTTAATTATCTGGCTAATGACACAGCTAAGTACTCTGTATTTGTTGACATCAAAGGAGCTTTCGACAAAGCACAGGGGACTGCGATCCTGGACAAGATTGCATGCATGGGTGTCAAGGGGAGATTCATGATATGAATTGAAGACTACCTCACAGGGAGGGAAGCCAAGGTTTGCTTCAATGGAGCAGTCTCAAGAACAATGAATATGGAACTCGGTACCCCCCAAGGGGAAGTCTTAAGCCCCACACTATTCAATGTACTTATGAACGCCATTGCAAATATTGATTTCCCGGAAGGAGCACAACAAGTGGGATATGCAGATGATGTCCTAATACAAGCTCCCACCTTAGGAAAAATTAAACAGTCCACTGAACTCCTCGGAAGGAAATGCATTGAGCTCGGTTTCACTCTCTCCACAAACAAGACAAAAACATACTCTCATCACAAGAGGGGAGAAAATGAAGAACTGCAAATTAATGGTGTAACACTTGAATGGGTTGACCACTATCGGTACCTTGGCGTCACTGTCGGCTCTAACAAGGGGAAGAAAGAGGATCTCAATCAACTCATAGGAACATGCAAACGTCGACTCAGGGCACTGAAAGCTATGACCTGGAATGAGCATGGAGCCTCTATTGCCGTGCTTAAAATGATGTACACAGCCTATGTGCGCTCCGGAAAGGGTGGGGAAAACTAGTCATAATTGCATCTCACCTTTGTAAACAGGTGTTAATGAGACTATGTAAC